ACCACAATTTTTTTTCTTGATTTCTTTTAGTGTTTCTTAAAGCCAGAAAGTTGCCATTTGAAATGACTTTAGTTTTGTGTCATGTCTGTGATCTGCTTTTTTTCCTACAAAATTAAACAACTGAATGAACATCCTCCAAGACTGGTGATTCCATAATTTTTGCCAGGGGTTGTAGAAACAGCCCTGAAATCGCATCGCCAAACCAATCAGACTCCATTCAAATAAATACTAATTTAAGCATGTATAGAGCCAACAAATTTTCACATCTAACTGGACCAATTAAGGGTTCATTTCAACCAAACTAGACTTGGTGGTTGTTGGAACAGTCGAAAGATGAAGCAAGACAGCTTTTGTGAGTTTTATTTTGTTTCTGTCGACTTAAAATGAACCGTGTTTTATGGTGATAAAATTAACATTTTTTTAAATGGAGTCTGGTGGGTTTAGCGACAGCGATTTGGGGGCTGTTTCTGGTAGGGCTGGGCAATATGACCAAAATCTCATATCCCGATATAGGTCATTTCATATCCTGATAACGATACCTATCCCGATATAGCACATTTTCATCCAATGAATAAAAAGCCACGAAGAGTAATTTATCAATGTGATCCATGCAAAAGATGGACAGACTCCAAATGACGAAAAATATTGCTGTAAAAAGTGTAATTTGCATCACATCGATATAAACGATAGAGCAAAATATGAAACGACAGACATTTTTCTCTCGTGACACGATACACAGTATATCGTCATATCACACAGCCCTAGTTTCTGGTCAAACGAAAAGGATCTTACTCTTTAACAAAGGGTCTGTCTCTGTAGGGATCCCTTCTATAATGTTGTCAGACACTTAAAATGATGTGTCAGTGGCAAAAACAAGCACTTTCATTAGCCCCTTTTACACTGCCAGATTTTCGGCGAATGTTGGGCCGCTTTGCCGGCAAGCTGCGAGCGTTTAGACACACAGAGCCGGATTGGCGAGTTGATCCGAGGTGCCCAATTTTCCGCCTCGCAGGGTAGAAATATTAGAAGAACCTTTTTAGTTTAAACAGACCGAGGCGGCCTTCCACAACAGGAGGGGCTGTTGAAGAGTTGTGGGAGGAGCTGTTGATGACATCGCACGTGCGACCCAGTGGCGGTGGATAAACAGGAAACAGCTGATAGCAGGAATGAGCAGCTAGTAGCAAGAGGGAAATGCAAACCTGACAGACACTGTAAAGATGAGCAACTGGGGAGACAAGGAATTGCACGCCCTCCTTGCCCTCGCAAACGAAGAGGCCATTAACCGTCAGATGACGGGGACGGTGAAGAACGGGCCGACTTATGAGAGAATCGCCGAAGGACTGACCAGCCGCAGCTTCCCTCCTACGTCACTGTTTACGTCACACGCTGAGCTACACGTTTTGTTACTTGCTCACGCCCCCCATTGCCCCGAAAAAGGCGCATTCTGTATGAACAAAAGTAGGTAGGCAGCATTTTGCTGCACTCCCCGATTTTGTTTTTATACTGCCAATGCTGAAAAAAGACTGATTGGGCTTTCCTGCAAATTTGCACAATTCCTATTTAGAAAGGGCTATTCAAACCTGTTACCCTTTAAAATATTGCTAAGAAAAAAGGGATGAAATTCATTTCAGAATAAGCAAGTTTACAAGAAACATTTTACTCTGATTATTACTAAATAAAAGCTTCAGTCTACATTCTCGCCTCAGAGACTGTCCTCCTCCAACAGTGTTTGTGCAGCTCGTTATTGGAATCTACATCTAAAACATTTATGGATCTATCAACTAGTTTCCCTGGAAGTGCTGACAGGAAGAGATAAGACAGAGGCAGCATCTAACATGACATGTTGGTAATTAGTCACTGCATCCCTGTCTTCAAGCTGTAACTTTAGTCTGTACTTTCACTGCTACAACCAGGGCTACAAGACACGAAGAAGATAGGACTATCACAACATTACTTGCGATTATTGGTACACTGCTAAAATACAACAAATTACTTGTTGAATTTAAATAAATAATAAAAGGAATTATTTCCAGCATTCTTTTATTGAACAAATAAAGCTCTGAACACAAAATGCACCAATAAGAAGATACTGTGCTTTAACAAATACAAAAAATCTTTAAGTGCAACATTGCTGTCTTCCACAGCATGTTTATTGTGCAGATTAACATTACTATGACAAAAAAGGTATATTCTAGAGCCCTAATTACAACAAACTCCAGCAAGATGTTTGGCTTTCTGATGCTGTGAGAATGTTCAGCATCACAGAGACTGAATAAGACAGCATGAGAAAATACGATTGTGGCAGTAAACTAGGTTAAGTAGTACTCTGTTTGAATGAAGTTCAGTATTTTAGCTGTAGTGTTTGTTATATCCTCGGAGAGCAATAAGAGAAATGGAGAAAGCAGGACAAAAGAGAGGTTTCATTCTACTCTATGCTTAATGACAGGTTACACACAGCAAACAGTTACCGGAGAAATATAATGTACAGCACAGGTCTGTGTGTGTGTGTGCACGTATGTCAACAAGCTGATCGGTATTCATCTGCATGGATGACTGTGTGTACATAAACACAGTGACAGTTCTGCAATCACACTTATTGATATTCTAGCACCAGTATTGGAAAACATTTTACAGTTTGAACTGTTTTGCTCTCTGGCAGCTCAACACTAACCAGTTAATGAGCTGTTTGGCATTCAAGCAATGACTCATGTTCATGCTGCTGTGTGTGTTATACAGTTTTGTACACACTGATTTATCTCAGCTGACTTGAAGAATCAGTAAATCAGTAGTATCAGTAATCTGGGAAATTACAGGATATATTCTCCTATTCAGCTGCATTAATGCTAATTTACCATTTAACCATCATGGTTTCCTGTGAGTTTCACCAATCATACTGTGCGTGATAATCCCCATACCACTAGGGCTGTGCGATATGACAATATATATCGTGTGACGAGAGAAAATTGTCTATCGTTTCATTTTTTTTTAATATTTCATATCGTTGTGATGCAAATTACACTTTTCACAGCAATATTTTTCGGCACTTGGAGTACAGCCTCAGTGTGTGTGGGGGTGTGTGGGCGTGTTTGTGTTTTAGAACATAACCGCTGTGAAACAATCAGAAAATAACATTTTATTGATCTGATTCACCAGCTTCCTCACTACCAGCGCTCCCTCTCTTCACTCACTCTCTAGCTTGCTCGACCACAGCTGCTTGCTCTCTCTAAAGGGAATAGGGATAGGTATCGTTATCGGGATATGAAATGACCTATATTGGGCCTATATCGAGATATGAAATGACCTATATTGGGCCTATATCGAGATATGAAATGACCTATATCGGGCCTATATCGGAAAATGAAATGACCTATATTGGGCCTATATCAGGATATGAAATGACCTATATCGGGATATGAAAAGACCTATATCGGGCCTATATCGGAAAATGAAATGACCTATATTGGGCCTATATCGGAAAATGAAATGACCTATATTGGGCCTATATCGGGATATGAAATGACCTATACCGGGATATGAAATGACCTATATCCGGATATGAGATTTTGGTCATATCGCCCAGCCCTATACCATGCCAAAAGTACCAGGATGTTCTTCTACATCTGGTCTGATTTTCTGGCTATTCTGACCCACAATCCTCTGCACAGCAATGAATGATACGTCACATCAACTGAGCTGCAAACAGATAGAAGCTGTCTGGTCACAATGACGGATGACAGCGCATTCAAGTAACTGATGACCAGCTGAATAGCAATAATAGGAATATTAATTGTTTAAGTGAACAAAATAATCATAAATAAAATTTAAAAAAAAGGACATAACTATGAAAATGACAAAGACGGAGAACTGCAGATGTAATTTCACAATATGTTAGGATCTACAATCTGTGCAGTTGTAACTTTAAAGTTAAACTACACACATCACAAAGTAACAACAGCAGAGCTCTCTGGGTTGATGTTCGTCTCTGAGAGGGTCAAAGTTCAGGGTGTAATGTTATGAGAAAGTAGTAGTTGTGTGCATACAGAGTACATACTTTTTAAGGGCAGCTGCAGTACCTACTAAAAGTACTAAAATTCTGCCATTTAGAACGCACCCATAGCCATCCCCCCACAAAATGTCCCCAAAGTTACGTCCTTGTTTCTGGCAAACATAAGGAATGGTTATCACGACAGTGACAGCGTTTGAGTAACCAGACTTTGGTGTCAGTTCTATTGGAGTCAATAGGGCAGGCACTGCAAATCACACTTTAGCCCATCATATCTTTGGTGTTTTAACTTTGACTGAAAAATCCTTCCACCAGATTAAAAGACACACATTATGTGATGCTTACTGACGCTTTTTATCTAAATATGCACATTTGTTTTCCTTGTCTCCAAACAGACCATGATTCTGTCCAGGAGAGGCTGAGATGCAGCTGGTAGACAGAGACATGACCTGTTTTACAGACCAATAACAAGGAAAAGGAATCTTTTTTTAAAACCCATAATTAACCAGGTGAGTACCAGTGAGATAAACTTGAGACCTGGCCAAGAGAGCAGCACACAAAAAGTTACAGCCAAACAACCGCACAATAAAAACATATGAGAGCTTTAATATCAGGCAGAGACCAGTTCACATACTTTCGGTCTCTTAGAAGGTTGTTCCAAGTGAGAGGAGCAGAGCACATAAAAGCTTTCTGTCCCAGCTCAGGCCGTGCACTAGGAACAGACAACAAAACTGAGTCTTGTGATCTCAGACTGTAGCTACAGACAGATCTTTGTTCAATCAAAGTACAAATGTATGAAGGGAGTTTATGCAGTATGAGTTTATAAATGAACATCTGCCAGTGACTGAGCCTACGAAAGGTCAAAGATGGCCAACCTGCCCTGGAGTAAAGCGTACAGTGACGATTAATATAAATATAGGGACTGACATGTGCATCGGTATGCCGTGCATGTGCTGAGTATGTTTGTATGTTTGTGTTTGTGTGTGCATCCACTCACAGGTCTACTTGCTCCTGACTGGCGAGATGAGTGACTAACAGCGTGATGTGCAGAGTTGGGACCGAGATCATGGCTTTGGCTAGTCGGGGCTCCTGCTGAAGAATCACCTCTTGGACCTCGGTCACGGCTGAACTGATCTGTCATTGGATACATTTTAAGGTCAGTCAGCAGCAACTGTCAGACTCTGTCACACACAGTAACTAATCATTCTCCCTTGTCCTTCACCATCACTCCTTTCTTTCCGAAACTAGGTGAGAGGAAGAGATTGAAAGAAGGAGAAACTGCTTCTTAAGTTTAACATCACAGATGACCATGGGATAATTCAATGTTCATTTAGAGAAACTTTTCAGTCAATAAGCACTAAGATTTCAGTGTCATCATCTGTCAGGTAATTGAATCTTTAATTTTTTTTCTATTAGAGATTTCCTCTGACCATTTCCAAGTTTTACACATGAAATTAATTAATGCGTCTGGAGAGAACAGACTAAAGTCTTCTCCACAAAATAAGAACTCAAATAGTTTCTGAAACAGGTTTTCTTCTCTCTTTCACTATTTCTTGAAGGATCTCACCAGTGTTTTGGGTGTTTTAGCCAATTTACTACAAATCTGCATCAATTCACTGCCTACTGTTCAAAGCATACCATCTTTTTAGACTTTTAAATGTCGTTTAACAACCTTCCATGCAGCCAAAAATGTCTATTCATTTTAGTAGTGTGTGAAATCTAACTTGCCAAGACTTAAAACGAGCTTAAGAGAATTAAGATAGTCCATCATATTAAAAATGATGTAATGGAGATGGAAGCACAGATTGTTTTGGAAGATCTTTAGAGCAGTTGGTTGAAAAGAAAAAAACACGAATGTTGTCAAAATGATGTTGTGATTTCGATAGCTACTTAGAAATAGAGATAAAAGAATTAAAGGGGAACTTTAGTACGTTTCAACCTGGGCCTTAGTTTCCCATGTTTTTGTGTCTAAGTGATTAACGGAGTCAACAATTTCTGAAATCGGTCCAGTATTGAGCGAGAGGGCTGCAGCTGCAAAACAGGCTGCAATGTAATCCCTATGGGGCAATTGAGTACCGCCAATGTGCGTCCACTACAAGTGCTTGTTTTTGCCAGCGACAGGATCAGACTGTTATTATGAGTGTCTGACAACATTACGGAATGAACCATACAGAGAAATGAAATGTTTTTCTTTACCTTTCGCTGGTCTGTTTGTTAAAGGGGCAATAAAAGGAAATTCATCATTTCTAGATTGAAGACATTAAGAAATCGCTATGTGAAGAACTAGAGATGTAATTTCATCTGGAGTATAGCATGACGTCACACACCCTCTCTCTGTGTTGATCTCCAGCCCACTGTTTACAAGCCGGTCCGGCTGCGCGTTCATGTATGTTCATGTGAATCCCGCCCCCCTCCTCTCAGAGCCCTTGGCCCTCCCTCCCTATAAAAGGCTACAGCCAGTGAGCAATGGCAGCACGTATTTTCTAAGCCAAATGGCGGAGAGCGGAACGAAACGTTTACCTGAAGACGACCAGTATCCGACATTACCTCTAAAGAAACAACGGTTGCTGGCGAAGAAGTTGACGGATATAGAAAGGGACAGAACCCAGATTAACATTGGCCTTGCATTTCCAAGGTGGAGAGCACTGCGAGAGCTAAAGGGGCTACAATCTGACTCAGAGCTAGCTCTTCATCTCCTGGACAGGTAACGTTAAGTAACAACATAAAGTCAAATGTCTGTTTTAATTAGTGTTACAGTAACGTTAGGCACATGTAGCTATGTAGATTCAATTAAAAATAATGTTACAATCATAACATGGGTTAATGTCAAGAGCTTGAGTTAATAGCGGCTCGGTCCCAGCAATGGGTCAGTGTTAGGTGAGTAGCCCGGCAGCCCAGCTAACATTTGCAATTAGCATTGTAAAATGTAGCCAGGCTAAAACATCGCTCTCACTCACGGAGAAGAGTAGGAACATTAGCGTTAGCTCCCAGTGTTAGCACTAGCCGGGATCCGGCGATGGCTCGAGCCGAGTCGGCTGCCACCGGCTACTGGAGTAACTTACAGCTATGGAGCGCTTCTACCAGCTCTTCTAGTCACTGAGCCTCGCCTCCATCTCAGCAAATATATTACATTTATTTACAGGTACCATGATCACTGAAGCAGGCAGGGGAATAGCTAAACACAGCAGAGACCGAGAGTAAGTGAAATACATCGAGTGGGGGATGGGGGTGGGGTTTTGAAGAGCAGAGGTAGAGGGAGGTGTGGCTCATGACACACTTTGTTTTGGTCTACAAGCAGTGCACAACAGCAAACCTAGCAGTGAAACGATTTTGCTTTTTGCCTTTTTAATGTCTTCAAAAGTCTTGTTCACAGACTTTTCTACATTGTCAAAATCTACCAAATATTCAGCCTGACATTAAAAAAGTCTTTGAGATCAGTGGTTCTTAAATGGTGTGCCGTAATGTAAATCCAGGTGTGCCGTGGGATCTTGTGATGACCACACATTATTGCAATATTCAACTGGGCCTGTACAAAAAGTTATGAATGAATTTTTAATTGACTGTATCAGCATGTTGTGCGCACACACTTCCTAATCAAGAGGCAAACTCTACCTAAAGAAATGTAATTTAATTTAAAAAACCTTCACGAGAACATATTTGTCGCCGTTCGCGCATGGGAATTACAAATGTGTGATACATCACATTATCTTACATTATTTCCCATTTAAATGGATGTGTAATTGGTGCTCTGATGTAATTTTAAAAAGTTTAAGATAAATTCTTTCATCATTTTGTTAAATATTTCATGAGTAATAGTTGGTTGTCAATTGTTATTTAATATTTGTAAATAAAAACAAACATTTATGTCGTGATAAGAGTGATAACACATGTTATGGAGGCTGTTGTGCACAGATATAAATGCAGGTGTGCCTTGAGATTTTGGCTTGCTCTTTGGTGCCCTGGGCACAAGAAGTTTGAAAACCACTATTCTAGATAACACTAAGCTACACTTTCTGTACTCCAACACAACACATTCTTCCCACCATTTCTCTCACCAACTCTCCAGAATGTGTCCACCGTTGTTTTTCCTGCAACAAGTCACCTCTCAAAGAGAAACAAACAGAGGGGCGAAAGGTCAAGAACAATGTTTGATGTCTTTGTAGGGTCCTTTCCCTTATGTTGTCGGACAACAATCTGAGCCTCTCAGTGGCAAAAACAACCACTTTTAATGAACATAGATTGACGGTGCACAGTTGCCTGTGGTGTTTATACTGCTGCCTGTTTCACCACTTAATAAATAAGCTGATCAACAGAACATTTGTTGCCTAAAACATGGCTAGAGAATCTGCAGTTTTGTAGTGACTGGGATAAAATGTGTCTTACCTGTGTGTTGGTGATGGGGATGGAGACAAAATAGTTGGGTCGCTTGCTCTCTTTCTTTTTCTTCTTCTTCTTCTCTGCATCCTCTTCACTGTCCACCTTCCCTCCACTGTCTCCTCTTTTCCTCTTCCTCTTCTTCTGGGCTGACTCTGAGCTGCAGACTGGAGGGAAAGAGAACGCATACTTTACAATACAGACGAAGCCAGCTCACCCCACTGATCTACACTCAGATGCTGGTTTATTAGGTACACCTAGACACCTAGATCTTGCCCATATGCGATAAGCTGAGGCAAAACTTTGAGTAAGTAAATCAGACCTGCCGTCTTTAACCTTGTACAGTAGATTGTGAAAGAGTTGTAATTCAAAGAAATGGTAAAAGATAATATTAAGAATATACACACATCCCAGGTCGTCCCATGAGGAGGGGCTGGTCAGAGAAAACGGAAGCTCTGACATTAAATTGTCTGAAGGATCGGCTGACTTGAGCTCTTTCTTCATCAATTTCCTCCTCTCCCTCCTCATCTTTCTCCTCGTCTTCTTTTCACTCGATCCTGCTGGAGCTGCCAAGAAAAGAAATAAATCACAATACAACAAACACACATGCCTTATACGTAAGAACATGAACACAAAATACTCTCTTGTCATTATTCCCTTAAAATACTGATAAGGATCACCTATAAGCCACTAAAATACAATATATTACGCAGCCCTAATTACAGCAAACACCAGCAAGACCTTCTGAGGCTGTGAGAATGTCCAGCATCACAGAGACTGAATAAGATAACATGAGAAAATATGATTGTGACAGTAAACTAATTTGAGGGTTACTCTGTTTGACTGAAGTTCAGTATTTTATCTGTAGTGTTTGTTATATCCTCAGAGAGCAACAACAAAAATGGAGAAACCAGAACGGAAGAGAGACGTTATTCTATTCTATCCCAAATGAAAGATGACACATTAACAAACAGCACAGGTCTGTGTGTGTGTGCGCGCACATCTAATACGTGATCAGTATTCATCTGCATGGATGACTGTGTAAATCAGGGCAGTGACAAATCAATATTGCAATATATGAAGTCTTCTGCAATCACATTTATTGATACTCTAGCACCAGTGCTCAAATATATTTTGAACTTTGAACTGTTTTGCTTTCAGGCAGCACAGCCGTCATCAATTAATGAGCTGTTTGGCAGATTAATCGATTAATCTAAGGTCTATAAAATGTAAAAAACTGTGAAAAAATGCTCATCACAATTTACCAGAACCCAAAGTGACAACTTCGGTTTGCTTTTTTTGTCCAACCAACCGTCCGAAACCTAAAGACTCATTACTTATGATGATAAATGACAATGAAAAGCAGCAAATTCTCACATTCAAGAAACTGAAACCAGCAAATGTTTAACATTTCTGTTTGAACTAATCAATTAATCGACAAATTGTTGCAGCTCCAGAGGAAAATCATTAGGAAATACGATGGTGTATACTATAAAGACACATGGTAAATGGACCTCCCCTTGTATAGCACCTTTCTAGTCATCCAACCACTGCGCAACGAAAGCGCTTTTCACACTACGAGTCTCACCCATTCACACACACATTCATTCATACACTGGTGGCCGAGGCTACCAGCATACAAGGTGCCACAAGGTGCCATTGGGAGCAATTTGTGGTTCAGTATCTTGCTCAAGGATACTTCAACATGCAGGTATGCCATGTGATAGAAGTAATAAGCTAATTTAAAGACTGTATTTCTTCGATCACAGTGAGACTCTTAGAAAATGTCCACAGTGGACTCTGGGATTAATCACAGACTGGTAAGGAAACTGCGCTTCACAAGCAGCCTTTCAGGACACTTACAACAGCAAGGTCATCAGTAGGGCTGCACGATTAATCGTAATAAAATCGTGATCTCGATTCATATGCATATGCGATCTGATTTTTCAATGACGGCGATTCTGCCAGCCCCGCCCGTGCCGGGAGTCGGGACATCATCTGCATGAAAACAAGCGCCCCCAACGAAGCAACGTTATACCACGTGATGCAGAGCGACAGCCGGCCGGCAGTTTGGAAAGCAACTAGAGCAGGAGAGAACCGACAAAGTGAGGAGGACCCCTTAAAAGTTAACGTACTGACACTCTTCAGACAGACACACACACACACACACATACCGGACAGCCTCTCAGTCCTTAGCTGCTAACATTAGCTCTGTACAACACAGGTTCCACACAGAAACTTTTACAAAGGGTCATAATGTCCTTCTAGTGACTGTCAAATCGCCAGCGAAAGTTGTTTACACTGCGGACACGGAGAGCATGGGACAAAGATCCTCTGAGAAGAAAGACGGTTCACTCTGCTCTGCCGCCAGGAACAAACTGGGAGGCAAAGATCCTCTCTGAGGAAGAGGGTTCACTTTGCTGCAGGGTTCACCAAAACGTTTTTTTTTTTTTTGTTTTTTTCTTTTAATAAATTGAACACACATTAAAGATCCTGTAGAGAATTAATACATATATTACAATACAATAAACACTGTCAAATTAAATGAAGAAAGAAGATTTTTTTAAAGGCAAATATTGGGGATTTGTGTAAAAATATACAGAGAGATATAAATAATTATATAATTAAAGATATGTAGGCTATGTTCGGTGAATACTCCTGTCAAATGCATGGTGTTGAAACGTTTAATTTTGATCTTCCTTAGTCCATTTAGACTTTATTTTATCATAACAATAACAATGAATATTATGAATTGTTCACATTTTAATTTAATTTTAATAACATTTATCACAAAGCATTTTGTGGAAAAGTCAAATGTTCAGTTTACAGTTTTAATAAACTCAGCACTGTTTTTCTACATATACATTGTTTTGTCTTCATTCAATGTAATTAGCACATATTGTTATTGCGCCATTGGTTTTGGCCTTGGTGCCCCACATTTTGGCCGTGATGCCCCAATAAATTTGTATTTATCAAATGCCAAAGTGGCCTTGCCCTAAAAATGACTTAATTCCAGGCCTGGAATACCTACCTCAGAAAAATGTTGTTCAACATTGATATTATTGTTTAAATTGTTCAAAAGCTGTAAGAGAAGACAAGAGACTAAAGTTTATTGTTTTTACGGTCAGTGTCAGGCTGTCAGCTGTTGCATTTAAGCTAAAAACAGGAGTGTTCCCTCTCTGCTGACCAGAGTTTATGTGCCTTGTGTCTCTTGTATCAGGCACAATCATAGGTTTTGTTATTTAATGATTTTTTTATTATTATTTATTTAGAATTTTTGTTACTTTTCCTTTTGTATCAGGAAATAAGCACAATAAATCTTTATGTTGAAAAAAATCGTGAGAGAATCATGATCTCAATTATAAGCCAAAAAATCGTGATTCTCATTTTTTCCAAAATCGTGCAGCCCTAGTCATCAGGAGGGCCCACATCATAAAGGACAGCACACACCCCAACCACCATCTCTTCAGGACTCTACAGGAGTGAAATCCAGGACAACAAGACTGACCAACAGCTTCTACCCACAGGCCATCAGACTGCCTCCAGATGTCACTGTAGTGTCAAATCTTTTTTTCCAGCATAGAGAGGAAGCCCTGGAGCTTCATCTGCCCATCACAAGTATAACCTCCATCCATCCAGTACAAAGCAGCACTGTGTGGTCAAAGAGTTCAATCTCAGGCAGTCAGCTGTACTCACCTGACACTGTGGAGGCTTCAGTGTCTTGCAGGACCTCCATGGTGACTGCATCCTCCTGACCTGGAATCACCTTCTTCAACTCCTCCTCATATTTTTGACTCCTCTGTCCAACCACACCTTCACCGCCACCCTCCTCCTCATCATCATCATTATCTGAGGCAATGGCAGTGGTCTCTATGCCGTAGGAGATTGTGTCTGGCTGCATATTACACAGTGATAGCTGATGCAGGCAAGACTGTGCCTAAAACAGAGGGGAATGATATAGGCAGGTCACAACCAACTGAAAACTGGGGTGAGGACAGTAACAGAGTTTACTTTAATTTGCTGTCATTTCATTACCTTCAGTGGGAGCTGGTGTGCAGACAGCTTCAGTGCGCTGACCTTAAGACAGTTACTCGTAGATTTGCGAACTAATAGTTCAGTAACAGCAAAACCTCTTTGAAAACAAACACTTCTTGAACACGTAGCTCTGATGGGACTCAATAAGACGCGACAGAGGAGCATGACAAACACACTTAACTAACTTTAGCTACTGTTGCTAACAGTTGGCTAGTTGAGCAGACACTTCAGTTAACTACAACCAAACTAGCCGAAACAACAGAGAATATTAACCTACAACTCCCTTCGGGTTAGTTTCCGATGAGACCGCAGGAGAGACAGACTTTGGCTCGCTGTAGCTAACTTCACACCTGTTGAAATCACACAGCCATGCTGCAGAACACCTGCTAAGCTAGCTAACTGTTAGCTAACTTGTGAGCAGCTCATTTAACAAAACTTCACCGGAATATCATTTTAAAGACTTGTGATGATGTTGTTGGTGCAGACAGCTCGCAGGTGGAAGTCTATGTCAGAAAAACTTCCAAAAAAATAACGGTAAAATAACATTAAGCTCCGCAGCACGCGATAACTCGGGATACCGAGTGGAGCAGCTTCTGTTTGTAAACAGTGGACACTTCCGGTCTGGCTTTTCAGAGCAAAATAATTTCTCTCTTTCCAGAATAAAAGCACCAATTATTTTTTGTTTTTTATCGCAGAGTAGTAATAGTAAAGTAATTATTTACTTGCTCAATTCCAATACGTGTTGGTAAGTGTGTTTTATAAATTCAACCCACATTGCTGGACTTTATTTACACTAATTCAACATTTAACGTTTCAGCTGTAATTACTACATCTGCATTTAGACAAACTTGAATCAAGTTGAATAAAAGATGATTATATAGATATAAGATGATTGTATAGATATAAAGATTATTGTATAGATATAAATGTATGCCTTTCTAGTCAGCCATACAGAAAACCTGGGTCATTGACTAACTTGATAATGCATGGGGTCTTGAAATGTTTTGGCCCACTGCTACCATCTAAATGTGAGTCTTGATTTTAAAAAATTCAAAGTATTAATTAGCAGTGTATATTATTATTATTACTATTATTATTATTTATTAATATTATTATGGTTAATGACTAATTATTGATAGAATCAAAGTGAATTTGGGCCCACACTATTCTTAAACTGTACATCAAACAGACATGAGCCAGTTTCATGGCGTTCAGACATATATATAAAATGCAGTCACAAAAAAGGACCACAGACATATGATAACACACTAATTGCAGTTTATTGAAAGTGTTAATAATCATCACACCTTACACATGCTTTCTGCAACATGATTTTACAATAAGGCACAACACTGATGCACATTCATGCTTTACAGCAAAATCAAATACAATAAAATAAAATAAACACTTTATATTTACTCTTAATTTTTGCATTAATTTTTAAGACCCACCCTAAATACACATAGTATATATTTTTAGTTAGTCACTGAGCTTTGTGGCACTCTTTAATTACTTGCATTTAAGTCTTTATATATATATATATTTCTACACAGAAACAACAGTATTAACTGAGGAACTAAATTCTATACATTTCATTAGAGGAACTACATTTTATTATAACATTCTTCATCAAGTCTGATGGCCAATGACAGCTCAAATGTTTTTGTTTGTTTTTGACTGGTTGCATCAAAAACTGCCAAACCACAAGTGCAAGATCTAAATTAAAAAAAATCAATGGCAGGAAAATGGTACACAACTTAGCATTTAGCTATTTACACCCATGATTAACATGAAAACTAACATCATTTCAGTACACCACTTTCAGAGGCTGATCTGAGTAAACCAAGGAGGATAAAATAATGTTTTTCTGTCATCAGTAAATTATGTAAAACAATCAGTTTTGCTGCTTTAGTTTTGCAGTTAATACCTTACATTACATATAGTTGTACTTGTGATGTGAACTAAAATAATACAATCATGACCACCATCAACAGTGCCAACACTAGTTACCAAAAGGCCAATTACTTGAAAGCCAGTTACGACTACTGCTACTTCTGTCAGAGACAGAGTGCCTGTTGTTACCACCATCTCTACCAGAAGTACTCCCAGTCAATTCACTTTCAGCACCCACAGCCTGGGCATTTCCACTCCCCAAGCAGCACTCCAGTAATTTGTCACGTATCTGAGAGGCAGCAGCATTATTTTGCTCACACTTCAGTAATCCATGCATTGTCTCATGGTAGAAAACGTTGACATGCAAGATGACTTCAATATCTTCACGCCATGTTCTCATAGGTGTTGTGTACTTGACCTCCCGTGTGTGATGCATCAACACCAGAATCACAGGTTTATCACCTGAGGACACGAAAAGGGAGATGGAAGAATGAGGTAATTACAATAGGAAATTTTAAGCTTCGAGCTTAAAACTGTAAAGCATCCATTCTTGAGAATTGGGACAAATCATGTCCTACGGAAATAAAAACCCTAAAAATTCTAACTTATCAACACACTAATTCTGTATCCTTGGTGAAACATTATTTTTATATTTCAGTCAGGACCACTTCAGTCAAAGAAAACTTTATTTCAATTTGCAGTATTATATTTGGTGGTATGGCTATGTTCTGGGGCCTCTCTACCTTTCCTAGGGCCTACACAGAAGGCCTAAGGCGGAGAGAGCACACCTCTCGGCCCTTCCATGTGCAAATGAGAAAAGCCTGAGACAGAGAGAGCACACCTTCCTGCCTTCCATGCGTCTATGGACATCCTAAGGCAGAGAGAGCAGCAGCAAAGACCCCCCCGGGAACAGAACAGAGCAGCATCAATGACAAACAGAAATGACATTTATAAGTCAGACACAGCATGAAAAGGAGGAGCTGGGGTGGAGGCAGGTTGCAAAGTGGGTTGCAGAGGAAGCAGCAACAGTAGGCAGCAGGGGTGTAACAATGCACGTATTCATACTGAACCATTCGGTATGAATCTTTCGTTTTGGTATGCATTACGAACTGAACGCTATGTTGAACTATGCTATTACACTTGGAAGACAAAATATACAGCTTAAACTGTCATATAATGTCCTTAGTGCCAATACGCTCAACAAGGCGGACAAGAAAAACACGACTTGTGGTTTAAAAATGAGTAATTTGATTAGCACTAAGAGAACTCGTAGCAACTTTGAAAAATAAAATGGCTACTCACTACTACTGCTGGCAAAATAATAAATATATCAACTCCGTAAGGCATCAATGCAGTCGTATCTTACCTCTGACATCCATGGTGTATGCTATTTAAGAAAAGGTGAATCACAGGGAGGCTGGGTTAAGGTTTAATAGTCAAGACTTTGATCTTTTAAGATATATTTTCCAGCTTAATTGAAGAGTAAAAATCAAATACTTAAAAAAAGGTTTTTGTCGCAATTCTCAAGAGGGAGTGACAGACTGACCACAAATGAAAGATTACATTTTTTTCTTTCTCTTTTCCCAATACATAAATACATATTAACTTTGATTATATAAGTCAGTGAACCTTGTAAGTCAAAGCTCACAGAATGATAACAGAAGATAAAACAAGTAAGGGAAAATCTTTCCCCTTACCTTTAACATCAGCCATGGCTGCCTCAACATCTGACGCAACGCGTGAACTGATGGGGCAGAAGACAAAAGTGACCTGGTAATCCTCATCGCTTTTAGCGGACTGAATCGGAATCTGAACCTGTTCCTTCACTTTGTCCATCAGCTGCACATGGGCATCAAAGGTTTTACCAGCGACAACCATCTGGTACACCAATCTGGCTATAGAGAGAAAAATAGTTGTGTGCATGAGACAAATTTATACATTCACAAGAACTGATTGAACCTTACAGTAGAATAACATTATTCCTGAAAATGGTCTTGCTATGTACGTCCTTAAAAAACTGAGAAGAAAAAGATACAGTTTTCAAAAAATCAACTGTCTGAAGTCGTATTCATTCAATGTGAACCCCGACTCACTATCATCATACTAAGTATAACACTGCTATTAGGAAGGATATTAGTTAACCTCTCTCTTAAGGATACTGTACTGACATATTAGCACACAGAGTTAACGCAGCTAACCTAACTTTTAACTGCTGAGTGTCTAATTATCATACACTCACTTTCTGCAAAGTCTTGTGGAGACAAAACGATGAAGGGTTCGCCTAATTAGAAACACAGAGTTATCAATCAATCAGATGATTTTCTATTCAGCAAACTTGGAATTTGATTTCGAGCAGCTGTTGTACAAAAGTCAAAGTCAGATATGATTCCCTAACAAACACTTTAACCCTACTGTGAGTTTAGTGAATGATTCACTTATTGGATTAAAGGTTTTTCAGCATTAACTAGAAAAGCACTCAGAGAGTGCACACCTCCGCCAAGTAGGTGATATTCCCTCCCCCTCTGCATCAGATTTTGCAGCCTGCATCACAATTAAGTTATATGCATCACTATCATTATTAGGTCATATATGTCTTCACCATGGAGACACTGTGGTGTATTTATTTCATTTTTATTTTGTACTAACAGAATATAATATGTTTTTTTATATTTTTCACTTTCTTTTTTTCCAACACAGACATTAATGTCAACTTTAGAATTACAATAATATTTAGCAAGTAGAACAAGATGTGCTTTCCGGCCACCAGATGGCGCTATTTTCACTGTCTTAATTGCTGCTGAGGCTGTCAGACGGTAGACTTTATTTATTATTTTATCCACTTTGCTTCAACCGATCACCACCAAAATTTAATCATCTATTCCTTGTCCCATTAACCACCTTTCCTGAAAATTTCATCAAAATCCGTTCATAACTTTTTGAGTTATTTTGCAGACAAACAAACAAACAAACAGACCAACTCCGGCAAAAACATAACCTCCTTGGTGGAGGTAAAAATTATTATTTTAAATGTGTTGATAGACAGGCAGACATGGAAACTAAACATTCAAAGCTTAGGTTATTTTCAGACCTCAGTAGTGCAAAGGAGCGCTTTATTTTGAGTTATAATGGATCTTAAAGTGAATACTACAATTAACATGTATGTGACACCAGAATCAAAATTGCAGAGCTCAACCAAATGATGCACATTAATGTGGCTGGTGTAGTAAACATGAACAAACTTTAACATGAGAAAATCTCACGTCATTTCAGTGTTGAGATTAAGAATGTAAGACTTACTTTGTGGTTGCTGTGCATGGGTAACACTCATTGGACCACAGTGGTCCAAGTAACCTGCACCTGATGAAGAGCCTGTAACATAAAATGGCATAATTTGGCTTCAAATATTATAGTATATAATTTAAAGGTTCTGTATGCGACATTCAGAATATTACTATAACAGCAAATCATTATTTGCCCTGTAAAGTTATAGTGGACTATGATGGTGTCTTAACCAAAGAATAAAGTCACAAACTGTCTGTGTGCATTGTAATTTGAGCCTCTCTGTGGTTTGTTTTGATAAACAGGCAAGCTCAGGGGTTTAGTTTTGTTGGAGCCTACAGTGACAATGCTCTGTGACACTTTTTTTTCTCTGAGTAAGGATTAGAATATATGCAGGTCACATAACCCAGCCAAAATGCATTTATTTATATTTTTTTAAACCCTTCAAGATCCACTCATTACTAAAAGTGTATGTCATCCAAGACAGACCATAAAAACTAAAGTCATGGTCAGAGTTGTCACAGTGAAATCTAAGGTGTGTTGATTGATACATGTCGTCAACTAAATACATTTAGTAACGTTACAAGTAAACGTTCCACCTTAATAGTCGCTGGCAGTCGGCCCAGTGAATTAAGTTATTGTTTTTTCTCAGATTACAGCTGCTGTGAGAGGCAGCGAAACATCCCCTCGTTCTGTAATTATAGTTTACTAATATATGTAAGACTCTCCACAGTATGAACAGTGGTTACATGAGCCTCAAAACCAGCCACAACTCAGCCCTGAGCAGAGTGACTGTCATCTGTTGACCAATCAATGGACTGCAGTGTACACAGCTCCACCTTTTAGTACCAGATCTGTGTGCTAGGTACCTCAACAGAGGGGGGACCAAAAATGGGGATGGTATGGAACTGTTCCATTGGTAACATCCACAACTTCTCACAGTAGAAATGGAAAAAAAGTGTACCAACTGAACTGTACCATACTGCTTGGTGAAAACAGGGCTGAAGTGTCCCACACTCTGGCTCCATTAGCATTGCTCTTTTGTTCAGATGATGATGTTTTGGCCCTGAAGCCTTCTTCAAGATTACAATCACACTTAGTCACCAGCTAGGGCAGCAGTGGCTCAGGAAGTAGAGCGGGTCATCCACTGATTGGAAGATCAGCAATTCGATCCCCGACTCTCCCAGTGAATGGGTTAATTTGGCTCTGTAGTGTAAAAGTACTTTGAGTGGTCGAAATACTAGAAAGGTGCTAACGTTATACAAAGCAAGCTTCCCACTGTGCTCATATTCTGGTTAACACTGATATCGGGATGGCGCTGTCGTGAAAGCGTAGCACCCACCCTCCAGTTCCCCCCAAGTTAAAGCTGGCTCATTCAGCACTGTTGCTATTGTTTAGCACTGTTTTTATAGCTAACACCATTAGCTGCTAGCCACCAGCTCAGCCCCCTCCATGTTGACAACCAGGTACAGACAACTCATATGTTCTGAATTCCACGGAGCCTTCTAAATATCAACTTCACGACTAACACATTGAGTTATAATAGAATCTCAAAGCAAATATACCTCATTAAACATGTAATGATAGTGTAAAGTGGAACAGAGTGAGATTCACCATTTTCTCCTTGTGGATAGACACTGGTTTGGTCATTGAGGGAGTCAACTGGACGAGAGGTGGCTGAGGCACTTGAACCTGACAACAAACATTTTAAGTACAATGACATAATGCAATCACTGGCTCCAAATATTATACAAAACATATAAACTTGATTAATTTTACATGTGGGAGGGTGGACAGATGTTTACTCTCCAATCAACAGGCCAGTCTGTGATGATGTATTCTAAACTCAAGATTCACTGACTGGCGATTCCAGATTCAATAAAACTGAACTGACTCTTAGATTGTTTGAGCTTCAATTTTCCCATGATTCTTTTGAACTTAATATGTAACAGAATTAAAATAAATCAACAGAATTATAACGTTTGCCAGATTCAGGCTGTAACGCAGTACTCAACCAAATAAAGAGCACTGCTGTTGTGACAATGAACAAATATTAACATGGGAAAATCTTCTGGGTCATGCAAGTATGAAGAGGAGGAGAGTTAGATTTACGTATTAGTCTTTGTGGATGGTTACCAGGTGGGCAAATAAAAGAAATCCATTGAAGAACACTGTTCGAGATACCTGTGCCTGGCAAGTCACATAAAATGGCACTCAGTGACTCCAAATCTTATAAAGCACAATTTAAAGGGACATTTCAGTTTATTTCAACTCGTCTCCTATCGTCCTAAATTTGTTTCAAGTGACTAGTGACATAAAAATAATAGTTAGCATGTTAGCCATTAGCCTAGATTCAGCCAGGGTGCATAGTAGCGTCAGACCTGTTAAAATGTAAGTGAACGGGCATACTTCAAGTGCAAAGTTAGTACACTAAACAAGCGTTTATTCCACAAAGACCGCCTCATATCGTTAGGATAAATGTCAGCGAACATATAGAAAACGACGTGTAAACGTATTGTCTTACCTTACCGGTGTACTGCCATGTTTGTTTACCATTTAGCTCTGCTTTCCAAAGCGCGGCCGAAATCTCGCGAGAACAAGCAGCAACAGCTGGACGGCATCAACGGACAGTAGCCTGAAAAGTTCATTCATTTATTTTATGAATGATTTATAGAATAATGGCTGACTTTTTGCCAGACTTTGACTTTGTGGAGGAGGAATTTGATTTTGCATGTCGTTTTCTATATGTTCTCTGACATTTATCCTTATGATATGATGCGGTCTTTGTAGAAAAAAAGCTTGTTTAGTGGACTAACTTTGCACTTGAAGTATGCCCTTTCACTTACATTTTAACTGGTCTGACGCTACTAGGTGTGCCCCGGCTGTATCTAGGCTCCAGAGAAACTTTAACTCTGAGTCATAATGTCATGAGAGTGTGAAGAAGAAAAAAGTCAGATTCACCTCGTCCTCCTTGTGAATGGCTACCAGGTGAAGGCATCATTTGATCACTGCTGTCAGAGACATCTGTAAGTCACATAAAATGTTAATGTACTTAGTGACACATAAACCTATAATACTGTATTTAATTCAATAATCAACTCCAAAAGAGACTTTCATTTTGAATTATAAGGCAACATCGAAGCGAATACTACCCGAGAGAGTGAGATTCACCTCGTGCTACTTGTCGAAGGCCAGCAGGTTGGCCACTGTAGAGCTTCGGTGGATCATGACGGGCTGATATCTGGTCCGGCTGTTTTGTACTGTATTCTTCCAGAAGATCGATGTGAGCGTCAAGGAAACTCTGGACATTATTCATTTGAGACTTCATGTCCTTCAGGATTTGGAGGTAATCCACCAAGACTCCATTGTTGGTTAGAGCATCTGTAGGGAGAGAATCAGGTTGTGCTTGTTAGAATCTGGATGGTAGTATAAAGACAGTTATTAATGTATACATTTGCATTTTCATTCAGTCATCTACCACAAATTCAACATCCTTCGGGTTATGAGGATTATTTAACGGGCCAGTTTGGAGCATATGACTCAGAGTCTGTGGTGGGATCGTGTGCACACCATCCTCAACATGGATTAGGCTTAATCAGCGGCTAAGTAGGTTGGCTATGCTAACAAGTAAACATGCCGATAGACTAGAATACTAGCATGTTAGCTTGCTAACTAGGTAGGCCATGTTAACGAGTAAGCTTGCCAATAGTTTAGAATATTAGCAGGTTAGCTGCTAAGTCTATGCGTACAAGTAAGTTAGCCAGTAGGCTAAAATATTGTGTTGATTCAGAACCATCACTGACATGTTGATCCTGGATAGATTCGCTGATGTTAATCTACGACCATCACTGCTAAATTGATGTCGACACAATACAGAATCAGTGCGACTATGATGGTCCTGGATCAACATAATATCCAGAGTCAACACGATAGTGTGGTCCTGGATCAACACAAGCACTGCAATCTTGCTAAAATAAAACATAAAAGTTATTCTATTGCCTGTAAATAAGAAGGGAAAATGTGTTAATTGCAGGTATTTGCAACTGAAAAATGATATTATCCTTACTCTTTGTTAGTGAACAATATTGTAGCCTATTGGCAAGCTTACTTGTTAGCATCGACTACCAAGGTAGTAAGCTAACTGGCTAATATTCTAGCCTATTGACAAGCTTACTCGTTAACATAGCTTAAATAACTAGCAAGCTAACTCGCACATATTCTAGCCTATTGGCGAGCTTACTTGTTAGCATCGCCTACCAAGGTAGTAAGCTAACTGGCTAGTATTCTAACCTACTAGCAAGCTTACTCGTTAACATAGCTTACCTAACTAGCAAGCTAACTCGCACATATTCTAGCCTATTGGCAAGCTTACTGGTTAGCCTAGCCTACCAAGGTAGCAGGCTAACTGGCTAATATTCTAGCCTATTGGCAAGCCTAACTGTTAGCATAGCCTACCTAGTTAGCAAGCTAACTTGCTAATATTGTAGATAGGCTAAGCTAACAAGTAAGCATGCCAATAGGCTAGAATATCAGCAAGTCAGCTTGCTAACTAGGTAGTCTAGGGTAACAAGTAAGCTTGTCAATCATGTTGTCAATAGGCTAGAATATTATTAACTATTATTAATATTATTAACTTCAATTTGGGAAACTGGCTTAGCTCTGAAGAGACACAAAGGAATTTTGAAAGAAGCACAGGGACAGCACACTGATGATGTCAGAGGTTGACTGCAATGTTGGTCCAGGCATAGACATATATATACATACATAGACATACATAGACGCTGCATTGACTGCAGCTGCCTATTGAAGCCGACGTCCTAGCCGGCCGCCATCTTGGATGGGTCTCGCTTCGCCTCCACAGTGCATTCACTTCTATTGAGGAAGGAGCTGTATGCACAAGTAAAATAGAACTGTGTTGTGACCTAAATAACATGCTGTTGCTATCTGCAGAAAGTATTAAAGCATGAAATCCTGCATTTTTAATGTACGAAAGCATCCTGTATCATAACTACATGTGGGCCATTTGTAACAAACCAAACCGCGTGAAAATCAGTTGAAAATTCAGTGAGTTATTCTATTTTACTTGTGCATACAGCTCCTTCCTCAATAGAAGTGAATGCACTGTGGAGGCGAAGCAAGACCCATCCAAGATGGCGGCGGCGCAGGACGCGCTCAGGCAGTCGATGCGGCGTCTACGTATATATGTCTATGGGTCCAGGAATGCGATGTGGGATGTTGATCCAGGAGCATATCCTACTTGCAAAATCAAGTCATGCAGATACACACACAGGGACTCACACACACTAATGTGCATGTGCAGCCAGATTTTCTATGACAGCTGCAAACAGAGCAGCTCAGATTTCAACACCCACAGAGGAAGTATGACTCCATCCTCTAATCTGGACACCATTACTCCACTTTATGTACCAAATAATGCTCTGAATGTCACATACAGTTCCTTTAAATTTGTATTATTTCTTTCTCTATTGTCTATATGTTATATTTTATCCCAATGTTATAACTTCAGCTAAGACCTTTAAACAAATTTAATGAGCCTGGAATCTAAGACTGTCATTGCCTACAGTTGCCTCTCTGTGATTGTTGTGCATGTGATAATAAAGAACTTGAACTTGAAGAATTACATCTTGTGCCTCCACTATCATGAACCCAAAAAACAAACAGCTATTCAATTTGAAAGTGAAAGTAACAGCTGGCATGACTGTGCATACCTCTGAGAGACTGATCAGGGATGAACTTCTTCACATCTCTCAGCAGCTTTTCAACTGGTTTCTGGAACAAAAATATTACATTACATTTGATGTGTACAGTTCCCAGTGACTTGTTTCTATCCATGTTATCTTTATTTAAATCGCTCTAATCACATTTCAACCTGTCAGCTCACCTGTTTGTGTATGATATCAAAGATGGCCCTTCTCAGTTTGAATTGCTCAGCTCCAGGGAACAGGTCTTGCAGATCCTGTCGAGTCAGTGACCTCAGGTCCTTGTCGGTGTTTAATTCAGCCCCTGAAACACCAGGTGTGATGTTGGGTGAGCAACACTGGGAACATTTGGGGTTAAATTCAGTTCACCACATTTTATTTTCTAACACAGAAACAGTTGTTTATATATTTCCAGCTAGTAAAATTGAAGCCACATCCTGTAACTATGTTCATCGTTTATTTGCAATCATCATCCGCGTTAAAACAAACAAAAAAAAAACAAAAAAATACCACTTACGTCTGAACACATCAGCTGCTCTTTTACTTAAGTTCATTATTTCCTTCAGTAGAAGTGACATGACTTCACCTGTAGAAAAAGGCACATTTATTTCCATGTACAACCTGAACTGTATCTGTTCTTTGCCTTGCGACAGATAGGCCTACACTTGGTGTGTAGATAAACTGAGGTCCAAACAACAAGAGAGAGAAAATGGAGAGAGACACACAAACCTTTGAGCTGATCGAGTCACACGATGGATGATTTGGTGTAAATAAGTATCAGCTGTTACTGAAGTCAGCTGTCAGATATTCAAACACAATAAATAAAAGTATCTTAGGTCGTATCTCCGTTCGACGGTCGTGGGTATAACGCAGCAGTTTTTACAGAAAACACAAAGTGAAACTTAAAGAAAGGGATCGTTACTGACGTGATGACGTCACGACGCTTCAAACGCTCATTGGTTGAGCGAGAGCCGATTTTATATTCATACCTATCCATTTTTATTCTTATTTCTGTTTTCATATGTCTATTTTTAATAGACATGTACTCAAGGGCTCTGGTCCATTTATATTTATATCTATATTTTATATTCTACATTTTATATTTATTTTTTTATATTTATATTTATATTTTACATTTATACTTTTTTATATTTATATCTATACGTTTTTTTCATATATATATTTCATATATTATATATATACATTTATATTTATATTTTTTTAAAAGACATGTACTCGAGAGCTCTGGTCCCGCCCAGAGCCGCAGGGTAAACATTTATATTTATATTTACATTTTATATTTTTCATTTTATATTTATATTTTTCAATAGACATGTGCTCAAGGGGCTCTGGTCCTGCCCAGGGCCACATAATAGACATTTATATTTAAATTTCAGATTTTACATTTTATATTTTATGTTTCATTTTTTACATTTTATATTTTTTTAAATTTATATTTTTTAATAGACATGTAATAAAGGGCTCTGGTCCTACCCTGTTCAAGCATACATCTCTGGGACTGAATACAAATATAATCAAAATATAATTGTTTGTGTTGTAAAGTTGAAAAAGAGTTGAAAAAAATCTGCTCTGTTTTTCCAAATCAACAAGATTATTATCTCAGAATTATGGGAAAAGTTTTCATGAATTTATTCCCCCTTTTTTCTGAATTGACAAGGGTTAATAATTTGGGGAAAAAATAGAATATATAAGATCATTATTTAATTAATTCAGGAAAACAGGAGCATTTAAAAAAAAAAAAACATGAAAACTGTTCTTACAGTTCTGAGATAATAATTTTAACAATTTAGGATTAGTTTTTCGTGTGAAAGCATTACACTTTCACAGTACTGTATGTGTATTTCTTTTTTTTTTAATATTCTTCATTTCATATTTCCTTGAGAACATTCAGACAACAGTATGAGAGAACATGACTGAAGATCAGAGAATAAGGAACATCAAAGAGATAGACAGACAATGCCAGGAGTTACAAACAAATTGTGGTACAGCAAACCAAAAATAAATGAACACTATTATAAAGGCTTTCACAGCTTTTCTATTACTTGAGGTTTATAAAGTCTTGATTTAGGATTCTGCTTCTTTTTCAAAGGTAAAGAAAGAGGGTTTGATTTTTAATGCCTTAAATGTATGGACATAAAACTAACTGTATGTGTAGTTGTTACACATATCTTTAATCATTACATATAGCTGCTGGTGTTTAGAATCAAAATCCTACGATACTTATTATCTATATGTCAGACTTTATTTATACCAGAAAAAAAGTGCCTCAACTGTACATTTACTCAGCAAAATTCACATCATGGACTTTGGTTCTCTCCCTCTGACGTCCAGGCTGCAGCTCATTACAGCAGACAGTGCTTTGTCACTATAGATTCTTCCAGCTGTGCACCACAGCCTCAAAGTGGCACCAACGTGTGACTACACAGTATATAGCAAAGCCAGCAGGGGGCAGCACTGCACAGCTTTTTTCACACTGCAACACCTTAACCTGCTCATACAGTTCATGTAAGTCAGTGTAATCTGGTTTCAGTTACTTTAACACACTTGTTGACATTTTGTTAAATGATCTTCTCTGCTCTGTGTGGGTGCATTAATAATTTGGGTGCCAACAACAACAGTAATGATACTAAACTTTTTGGCCCATCTAGGCACTGATTACATTATAAAAACAGGATTTAGGAAGTCTTACAGTGAAACAGACACAACCAGGGCCCTGATGAAGACCAAGAGTCGATATACGTTGGTCTGTTAGATCGTTTAAAGGACAAACATATCAGATAATTTCACCTAAAGGCGGAGTGCCTTTCCATAGTTGTCTGCTTCACTTCAGGACTTCCTGGATACTGTTTTTTGCAACACATTCTCACTCGACTTCGTCACATATTGACCTTTGGCTCCATGTCCACAGACGACGTGCAAGGTACCCTGGGTGCGTTGGATGTAGACATTCTGGGACGCCGTGTCAAGTTCGGCCTGTTACATGCATTGTCTTCTTTCAAGATACACTTATGTTTTCACAGGAAATTTACCGTTTACATGCAGTCTCTTTCAAAATAAATGCACTATGTCGGTACAATGCCACACATGGTTGGGTTTAGGCAACAAAGATCATCGTTAAGTTTTGGAAAAAGGTGAAAGTCGGTGTTTGTTGGACCCATCTACCACCTGCCTCAACTTTCGTCCTTTTCCCTCTGACATGTGTATCATCATGCCAACGTTAAAGGACGCCTTTTTTCGTTGGTTTCTGACGCTGCAAGTCATTGCCCAAGTGCCATGTTTCAACAACTTCGGAGTGAGATCAGGTTATTTTTTGCACATACCTGCCTCACCAATGAGCAGTGTCTCCGTTCTTCCATTGTAAACTAACACAACATTATATTTATCAGTAAATGGGGACGTGTTCTTGTCCGTAAGAATTTTAATCTCTCATTAAAGTTTGAGATCAGAAAGACAGAATCAGACAATATCTTTAATGTTGCATGGTCATAATAACTAAAGAAGACAAGTTTCTGGTGTGGAGCAAAGTTACAATCTAAGCACACTGCCCTTTATGGTGTGTGTGTGTACTGTGTGTGTAGGCTATGTATGCCTGAAACTTTGGGCCTCTCAGAGGGAGTAACACAAACAACAGTTGGCTCAACCTGACATGATGTTCTCCCCCCAGACAAGCTTGAAACATAAAGAAAAGTGTTTGTCTGTTGTGTCCGGTGTGATTCACCTGTTTGTCTGCAGGTGTTGGAGGCTAAGTCTCGTCTCGGAGCAGACACTGCTGGCAGACACTGACAGAAGGTGAAGTGTTTTCTCAGCCGTGTGTCTTTCTGCAGGGGGTAAGACAGCTCCTGGTGGCTCTGCTTAGTCTCCTTCATGTATGACGGTGGAATAAAAGACAGTTTTGGTGTGAAGCCGACTGTGTAACATAGCGCTGTCTGTGTAATGACATGCAAAGACTGTTGGAGACAGTGGAAGTGTGCGACTACTCCAACAGCTTAAGAGGAGCAGCTGAGATGGTTTTGATATGAGATTCAGTCTTCTGAAGCCTCTTCAGTGGCATCTTTGAACAGAACGCAAACATTAATCATGTCAATAGAGGGATTAAAGCTTGGTTTGCAATGTTTAAAGCAGTCTTTCAGTCTTTGTGGCTTTAATTAATGTATGAATATAAAGTTGAGGCAGTAGATTTCAACACACAGGCATGTAACACTGATCCAGATGTACAGGAGGTTTTTACCAGGAGCCGAATTAACCGCAGAGGTGTTTTCCTCTCCAAAATAAACAGACCAGGTGATTTAAATCAGTAAAAATAAAAAATTAAGCAGTTTCACGTGAAGAAAAACTGTGTTTTTCTGACGGCCCCCTCGTGGAGGGCTGCTAACTCAACCCAGTCTCACTACAAAGTCGTCAAAATCTGGCACTTGGCAGCGTCAGACACAGACAAAAAAAGTTATCCTTAAAAGTTGGCATGATAGGTGGTCGGTTGCCGTAATAGTTTGATGACACTCACTGGTGTCAGGGGGAAATGCAGCAGGACAAGAACGAAAGTTGGTGGGATGGTGGATGAGTCCAACAAACTTTCACCAGGGAGAATGGTGTTTGTGTCTTGTAGGATTCTAAAGCCAAACCCTGTTCTTTTTTCCTAAACCCAACCATTTGTTTTTGTTGTTGGAGGAAAAAAAAAATTCAATTCACAATGTTGTACAGTCATAGAGACTGTATGTTAATGGTCAATTTCCTGTGAAGTGTATTTTGAAAGAAGACAATGCATGTTACAGGCAGAACTTGACATGGTGTCCCAGAACATCAACAATCAACGCACCCAGGGTACCTTTTTACGTCGCATCGGGATGTGGAAAGACCATGTCCAAACGTCGATATGTGACAAGGTCAGAGTGAGAATGTGTTGGCTAACTACAGTGACCATCACGAAAATGTTAAAAAACAAATGTCCCTATCTAGAGCATTAGGTATTTATTTTGACCATTCTGGGCTACAAACATGATGGTGCAACATGATGATCTCCGTAGACAAGGATTCGCTCCCTGTGTACATAAAAACGAGTCAGTCTAAGATATCAAAAAGACAGTGGTTTTCATTTTCAGGTGATTATAGAAAACATCCTTATTATGTTTCATTTCTGCCAATATATCTCCCTAAATCCTACAAACTGGACCTTTAAAGAAAGTAATCAACTGGGGAAGTTTAATGGTGATATCTAGAAGTTAAATATTTTACCCTATTCGCCCATAGTGTTTTATTTTTTGTCTAAAAATGTATGGAGATTCACAATATCTTTAAATGAGTTTACTCTCATTCTGAGCCACAAATCCCCACTTCAGTAGCACTTACACACCAGACTTTCCAGTTTTACTCCTGTCTATATTCTGAAGCTTTCCATGGAAGTGTTTCTTCATATATCATTCATAGCCTGATTAATATAACATGTTATTCCTATAAACATTGCAAAAAAATGATTTTTTCATGGCTGTTGACAGTATTTGATACAAAGAGAAATAAAACAAATAAAAAAAATATGTCAACACAGTGAAACAAGAATTTTGAACCTGGAATCATCCAATGTTCAGATTAAAGTTGTGGAAATGTACAAAAATCAGCCCATTTAATTAGATAACGAATCATTTGAATATTTAAACCTTTTTTTTTTTTTTTTTCTTTTTCTTAAATTCACCTGTAGCGTCTCCCTTTAACCACACATATCGGTTCAGTGGTCTATTTTTACAAGCAATGGCAAACATTAGCCAGAAGATGGTAATCAGATATCAGAAGTCCATCTGTTGGATTCAGAGAATGCAGGAATATAAATAGAGAAGTTTGAGGGGATGATTTGGCCTCCAGCCTGACTTTTAGATCATGCCAGCTCTGCAGTGCATCAGCA